GGCTTAGGGTTTGGGGTTTATAGGTTTAGGGTTTAGGGCTTATAGGGTTTAGGGTTTAGGGTTTAGGTTTAGGGCTTAGGGTTGAGGGATCAGGCTTAGGGCCTTACCAATAGTTAGGGCTTAGGGTATAGTCTCCATTGTAGTTCTGGTTTTGGGTTTAACTAATGTTATCTGTTTAACCAATTTTATACATTTAGGATCCTCTGGTTTTGGTTTAACTAATTTTAAATATTTTTAGCCTAATTTAATATAAGGCAGCTAATCCCCAACACGACCCACAATGGAGACTATTGGTAGGGTGTGGGGTGCAGGGATGACTGCTCGGCTTTGAGGCTGTGCGGGCTCGAACATTCGGATGAGGCTGCATGAAAACACCCGAACTCCATTCGTACCTTATCACCGTGAATGCGCGATATCCTTGTATGACGAATGAGATTTCGACAATACAAAGACGTTACGTGAACCAACCTCAGATCCCGGCGTAACTGAAACCAAAGCCCACAAAACCAAGCTCCCTGGGGATAAGGGCCCCAAGTACCTTTATGTGGAGGATACTTTCCCAGACCAGAATAATAATAGAAACTCTACATTCTACTATATCGGTCCTTAGGACCCCTTAAAGGAACCCTACACCCTAATCCCTAAAAGGAACCCTTCAAGGGAGCCTTATCGAAGTTGAAGCTATAGTCGTAGATGGGATGCGAAGCTGGGAAGAAGTTCCTCGGCGTAGTGTCGGGGTTTGAGGATCAGGGCTTCAGGGTTTAGGGCTTAGGGCTTACGGGTTTTAGGGTTCATTGCTTAGGGCTTTGGGTTTAAGGGTTAAGGGTTTAGGGTTTTGGATTTATAGGTTTGGGGTTTAGGGGGCTTCTCGTTAGCAACAGCAGGTCTAGCACGACATGACATCTGGAACTGAGTGTCTGCAATACGTTGTACTGAGCTTCAACTACAAATGCTCAAGTGCCTCTTCCCTAAACCCTAAACCCTAAATCCCTAAACCCCTAAACCCTAAACCCTGAACCCTAAACCCCTAAACCCTAAACCCTAAAACCCTAAGTCCCTAAACCCCTGAACCCTAAACCCTAAATCCCTAAACCCTAAACCCTAAACCCTAAATCCCTAAACCCCTAAACTGTTGTTTGAACCTGGATCTTCGGAGGGCGCGCGATCATGTCAGGTCTAAGACATGGCGGTTTGCAAGTCAAGCAAGCGACCAAAGATTCCAAAACCCCTTAATTAAGGAATATACGGTAAATTATGCTAGGAACCCTAATAAGATTTAAGGTATATTCCTTGATTAAGGGATGTTGGAGTCTCTGGGGACAAGACCTAACCCCGGATGTGCTGTTTGCACCTTAGCCAAAGCAAAACCCTGAACCCTGAAACCTAAACCCTGAACCCCTAACCCCTAAACCCTCTATCCAGAACTTTAAGGGAAACTACAGGTGGGGAGTTTAGGGTATATAGACCTTCCATAAGGCTTCTATAGGGTATATAGACCTTCTATAAGGCTCCTATGACGGTGACTACCCACCTGAAAATGTCCTAGACAACTCGTGAACTCCTAAAAACACGGCTAAGCCCTCAAGCGTTTAGGGGCAGCGAAGGCCAACAGTTCAGCTGCTGACGTTTATGGGATAGCGAGCTTCGGAAATTCAGACGCCTAGGATCGTCCGGGAGGCCAACAAAATTAGAGAGAACGGCATTCCACTCTTAACCCGAAAGCCTAAACCCGAAACCCAAAACCCAAAACCCCCAAGGGGTGTAGGGTTTAAGGTTTTGGATTTGCGGTTTCAGGTTTAGTCGGGGTAGAAAGTGCCGGGCCAGACACCATTACAGTGCATGGTTTGTCGTGCTTGAGCTGACAGATACACAGCCCAATCCCGTTGGAAGCTGTGTCCTCCCGCCGGAACCGCAGCAGAACCCAAAACACACCAACCTGTCATGCAATTCACCAGGTCCTGCAGGCACACCCTTATCGCAAAAGCAGGCTTTGACACGAGAAGTCGAGATTCCCCAGCAACCCCTTAATAATAAGGGTATCCCTTGTGTCCTACTATTCGGTTTCACTAATAAGGGACTCCTACTATCCGGTTTTAATAAGGAGACCCCACAAGGAGCAGGGCAAACAGGGTCCCCAAGGCTCTATGTACCTTTATAGTAGATACTGACGCCTTGCGGCCTTAAAGTACCTATATAGGGACCCCTTCCAGGCCTAAGTATCTACTATAAAGGTACCTGAGCCCTAAGCCCTAAACCCTAAAACCCCGAGCCCTAAAGGTACATGGAGCCTTTGGGGGTACTACACTGGGGAACTTAGCAGTCGAATCCCACACCTTGCGAGACCAAATCACTCGATCTCCCGAACGCACTGATCGAAGGCAGGACGTGAGGTCTGCCAGGCATCACGAGAAATGGTTTAGGAGTTGTTGGTTTGGGGTATATAGGAGCCTTAATCATTGAAATCGGGTTCTAACGCTCCTTCATAGTATACTTAGAACAAGGAACCCTAGAGAGAAATGCTGTTTATTCTTTTGGCTTCTACATTTCATGTTTCCCAGCGACTCGCTAGACTAGGTTTGAAACGGTTCATCGGGGTTCATGCTTCGAGGTTGCCTTCTCTGCTATCTTGGAAAAAACTCACAAAGGTTCATGCTTCTGTGTCGCTATACGTCGTACAAAGAAGTTCATGCGGGTGGAAAGTTAAATCTCTAAACCCTAAACCCTAAACCATCCTAAATCCCTACATCCTAAACCAAATAAACCCTAAACCCCCAAACCCTGAAGCCTAAACCCCTAAACCCCAAACCCTGAACCCCTAAACCCTAAACCCTTAACGCTACGTCCTAAACCTTCGCGTTCTTCTCGCATGGGACGTCCGATGACATCTTGCATAAACTCCTAAACCCCATAAACCCCTACACCCTAAAGCGTCTGCAATCAGGCTCGCGGGACTTAAGGGTCAAGGTGCTTACGGGAGTGGAGGAGATACGACTTCAAGGATTCTCTAAGGGGGTCCATGTACCCAACTAACAGATACATTGGCCTTACAGCAGTCCCTACATAGGTACTTTGGGGCCAAAGTATACACTATTTGGGTACATGGACCCTTAGGGTTGCAGGGTCCCTTTCAACATAAGTTTTTTAGGGTTTCGGGAAAAAGGCTCCATGTACCTGTCTTAATATATACTTAAGCCTTGAAAGGGGGGTCCTATATAGATACTTTAGGGCCTAAGAACGTACTAGAAAGGTATTTGGAGCCCTAGGGCTTACGGCCCAAAGTCAAAGCAAACCCTAAAACCTAAACCCTAAACCCTAAACCCTAAACCCTAAACCCTAGACCCTAAACCCTAAACCCTAAACCCAAGCAAACAGGGTAGCATAAGCCGATATCTCTCAAAATCTCAGAGCTTAGCCTGATCAGGCATGTTATTAAGTGGGTTTAGGGTTTAGGGTTTAGGATTTCGGGCTTAGGAATTAGATTTTAGGGTTTAGGGTTTAGGGTTTAGGTGTGTAGGGTTTAGGGTTTAGGGTTTAGGGAACCCGAAGCCTTATAAACCTCAAGCCCTAAACCCCCTTCAGGGTCTTGGGACTTAGAGATTCAGGATGTGCTGGGCTTCAGCGTCGTAGGCCATCAGGGTGATGTCATGATATAGCAGATGTCACGTCGAAGCTCGTACATGATGGTGGGAAGGTGCGCGCCAGCCCAGGAAGAGCTTGTGACCGCTTGAGGGTCCATATGTATATATATATATATATGTATATATATATATATAGAGAGAGAGAGAGACACACACACACACACACTCTGTGCCATCCTGGAATTAAGTCCCAAAAGACCATTCTACTCATGGTTTTGGGGGACCTGATTCCATGATGGAAGTATCATGTTGGACTCAGAAATAACTGCGATTGCAACTCCACGCCAGTGATGTTACTTACAACAAGACCCTAAACCCTAACACCTCAACCAGTCCCAAACTCCCCTAATTAAGCCCTAAAGCGGCCCTAAAACCCTAAACAAACTCCCCTAAACCCTAACCCTAAACCCCAAACTCCCTTAATTAAGCCCGAAACCCTAATCAAAACTCTTCAAAACCCTTTTTATAACCCTACACCCCAATCTCCCGGGGCGCCTCCGTGATGGAGGAGCCCAAAGACCAAATCAGCGAATAAGCGAAGAGCTTTTCCAAAGCCTCACCAGACTTCCTCAGCGAAGTTCTTGGTTGGTTGGGGTTTAGGGTTTAGGGTTTGGGGTTTAGGGTCTGGCTTTACCCTTAACAATAAGGCCCCATGTACCTGTATACGGTTTGATGATGTAAACCCTGCATTATCCATAATCAGGAATATGCCATAATCACCATAGTTTAATTGTCCTGAAGGTAATGCAGGATTTATATCATCAACCATAGTATACTTGTAGCATGTAGGATTCTAGGTCTGGGCTCCAGATTTCGGGATTCAGCAACCAATCAAACCCGCAACCCTGAACCCTAAAACCTTAATCTAAGGGTCCATGTACCCAAATAGTATATACTTTGCCCCCAAAGTACCTATGTAGGGACTACCTTAAAACCAAAGTACCTCTTTAGGAGTAACATCTAAGTCCTGAGGCCAAGACTCAAAACCCCAAACCCTACGCCATAAATTACTGAGTATCTGAGTTCATAAGCCCAGAAAAGTGTACACTTTCAGTCTTATAGTAGGCAATATTATCCCCAAAAAATCACAGTGTATCCACTCAGCTATTAAGACTTACCAAGACTAACGATCTCGCCAAGGCTCTCTCCGAAGGCCTCGACATCGATCTTGGGGGCAAACGTCTCGTACCTTGGGCAGCGCACCCGAAATCCTGCAAAAGCTAAAGCCATCTCAATACTTAATATAGGGGCCTTAATTAGTAGAATTTGGCTTCTGAGAGTATCATATTGTTACACCAAGGAATAAGGAATTCTAGCAAACAGTACCTCACCACGTGCTATGTTTCAATCAGTATGCCATTGTTTCACCACAAAACCTACATGGAAGAACCGCCTTCGGACCAAACCGTTAAAACTGCAGCGCGAAAAGAAACCACGGGCATGGGGCTAATGCGGTTTAGATTTAGGGTTTTTCAGATATAGTTAAGCTCCAGAGCCAGAAGCAGCACACACAGACATCTCGATGCCCACGAGCCGCCACCTGAATCCGAAACTTAAACTGCCAAGACACCTAACCCTCAACTCCGAAATCTACGCCCTGACCCCTAAACCCTTAACACTAAAACCCTAAAGCCCTAAATCTTAAAACCAGTTTTGTAGCCGTGGCGCAGGCGCGTCAGGGAGATGACGGCGTTGGCGTCGACGATCGGTGCCAGCTCTTGGCATGACTTCCGCATCTTCAGGCCTGGGTTGGTGCTTAGAGGCTTTAGGTTTTTTTATTGCTTATAGGTTTTAGGGTTTAGGGTTTAGGGTTAAGGAGTTTAGGATTAAGGGGTTTAGGGCTGAGGGTTTCAGGATTTATGGTTTAAGGTTTAGAGGGCTTATGGGGTTTGGGGTTTTGGGGTTTACAGGGTTTATAGGGTTTAGGGTTTACAGGGTTTCGGGTTTTAGGGTTTTTGTAGGGTTTAGGGTTCAGAGGGTTTAGTCGTTTCAGGGTTTTAGAGTCTATAGGGTTTAGGGTTTAGGGGTCAGAAGGTTTAGTCGGTTTAGGGCTTTAGAATTAGAGGTTTAGGGTTTATGGCTCAGAGGGTTTAGTCGGTTTAGGGTTGTAGAGTTTATAGGGTTTAGGGTTTGGGGGTCAGAGGGATTCGTCGGGTTAGGGTTTTAGGGTTCATAGGGTTTAGGGTCTTTAGTTCAGAGGGCTTAGGCGGTTTAGGGTTTAGGGCCTATAGTGTTTATGGCTTAGTGCTTAGGGCTTCGGGGTACTTGGAGGGTCCTGGGATTTCGTGAGGAAGGTTCCTTAAAGGGTTCCTTAAAGGGATCTAGGGTTTAGGGTTTAGGGTTTAGGGTAATTAAGGTTTCTATAATGGAGGGTCATGGGATTTGGTAAGCATGGTTACACGTAGTTGGGGTGTTAAGTAATCCGCCGACCCTGGCGGCGTGTTGGATGGGTCTCGATTCGATGGGTTTGGAGGTGTTAACCTGCCTTTTTCCCTCCTCCCACACCAAAGAGGCGCCCCCTGGGGGGTACCTAGGCCCCGAGGCCAGGGGGCCCTCCCCCCTTCCCCCCCCTCCATCGCCCTCTACAGCCGCAAGACCAATCTCAACCCGAGCCCCCCAAACCCGCAAGCTTCTGGCAGTGCTC